TCTTCCTGTTTCACCCCACAAACTATGAATCCCAGAGTACCAAAGCAGAGAGGATTTGTAGAGCTATAACATGTTTTACTTCCCCTCCGGCATTTAACAGAGAGAATACTGACTTCTGGAATTTAAGAGACTCCAGCACTCCTGACTCCAGCTGCAGTTTTATTTTTGGAATTTGTTTGCAAAATCCTTAGCACATTGGAAATTTGTCTATTAGCAAATTGGAAATTTGGAATGAAAGGAGACAGTTTAAAACTTTTTTCTGAAAAAAAAAAAAAAGAAAACAAAAATGGCAACAACCTGTTTGATAAATCTGATGGGGAAGAAGTCCAGCTGTGCACAAAAGCCCTTGGAGATTACGCGACTGGCCCTTTGCTACAGAGCTTTTACTGGAATACAAACACTTCTTACACCAAGAAATTTCCTTGAATGACTCACTCCTGAAAAATGTCAGGTTTCTACTGAACTCGCAGAGGCCCAACTTTCTGGGAAATTGGTAGTGGATATTACTTCATGGCTTCAAGACCACTGGTCTAATAAGAATTCTCCACCTTCCCCTGATAGCTTTTCAGTTTATCAGTTACGAGCAGAGAAGCATGCCATTTCTTCAACTGATCCATACTTCAGTTTCTTACAACAAACTTCACAGCAAAATAGAGTCAAGTGCAGAGAATGACAACTCCATGAATGTTTAGAGTGACAGCCTCTTTGCAGTGCCTCAGCCCAACCATAAACTAGAAAGCTCTGAGTTTAAAACCAGAGTTGTGTCACTGCTGGAAGAACATGAAACTCTTCTCTGGTACTAACAGATATCACTGCTATGAAGCCATGCCAATAAAATTAGCTTGAGAAGGTAGAGAAAGGGCACAGCAGTAAGTCAACAGGTTACATGTCTCTTGAAATGTAGTAAAAAGGCTGATTGGTTTTTTTTTTAATTTCAATATTTTATTTCCCTAGAACCATAGTGGAGACCTAGAAATTAAGTGAAACCTTTATAAAATCCTAACTTCGTTTTACTTTCATTTTGCTTAGGGACAAATCTGTATGGTCTCAGCTCATCTTTTATATAGAAATAAATAAGAAGAGACCAGATGATATAAGAAACTTCATTTAATTCTCTACCTTGTCCTGACAGGACAAGGGGCAATGGCTTTAAATTGAATGTGGGTAGATTTAGATATAATGAAAAAACTCTTCATGGAGAGGGTGGGGAGGCACTGGAACAGGTTGCCCAGAGAAGCTGTGGATGCCCCATCCGTGGCTGTCCTCAAGGCCAGGCTGGATGAGGCTCTGAGCAAACTGGCATAGCAGAAGGTGTCCCTGCCTATGGTGGGGGCAGTTGGAAGTAGATGATCTTTAAGGTCCCTTCCAACCTAAACTATTCGATGATTCATTCATGAAAATCTGTCCTTCAGATTTAGAAAGCCTGGAAAATAGAAAGTGAAGTGTATTGTTGCACTCCAAACAGAAAATGAGTCTTTAGCTGCCAGAGAGTAATGAATAAATGAATATAAACATAAAATAAACCTAGAATGAGGATTCAATCAGGAATGACTCTCTAACACCATGCTTTCACAGTCATTAAACTGGCAGAAATTGGCACTACTTCTGTAAAAAGAAGCCATTCTTTCCTCTGCACACAAAGACTGTCTCACGCAATCACAATGATTTTGAGCCCGAACTGGGTTCTTATTCACCAACACAAATACCTACAGACCCATGGAGCCAGAAACACAAATCCAGAAAGGAGGGAAGAGCATGACCAATTCTTTCAACAGCAACATAGCTTAAAAGTGATTTAAAAAACTACAGTACTAGTTCCCCTGTTGCTTGCAGTATCTATAGTGCTCTCTTAGATGTCTATAACCAAAGGAGGAAAACATTATGAAAGGCATCTGTCCAGCGTGAAGTGTCTTGGAGACGGTGTTCTCCAGCACCACTTGTACTACACTTTATGGTGGAGGGATGCTGAGGGTGCTGATCCCCTTTGACAAGATATAACTGAACAGTAGCCTTTTCTTCCCAGACCAAGTTCACTCATTTTTCATTTCCTGCTGGAACCCTGAAAATAATTCCTTAACTTGGTATGAAAAAGGTAAGAGGAAGTGTTGTTTCTGTATTTTGGTTTAAATATTTATGTCAAAGATGATAGACTGTTACTGATTTTGTAACTGTTCATAAGTAAAAGCTATGATTTTCACCTTTTAAGTGTTAAGAACAATTTTTCTTGGCAGGAAAACTATGTAGCAAACAGACATGACATTGAAGAACGTAATTGCCTTTCGCTTTGTAATCTGTCACAGGCTTCAGATTATGGTAGCAAAAGAAAGAAATGATAGCCGGATGGAGTTTGGTGTTTATTTTTTATAGACTACAGATGGAGAAAAATGGAAAAAACATTGTTAGATAAATATAGATAACTAGATTTTATCATTAACATAAAAAAATGTATCTTTATCTGAACAGCATCCAGTTCTTCATACACATTTATACAAAAGGATTGGACTATCTCAGCTTGGGATTTCCCATATATTAAATTATGACAGCTTGATGTTCATGATCACATTGCCAGTATTTAGGCAGAATTACCCCCACAGCCGTGGTCAAAAAGGTGAAGCTTCAATCCAGGTTATACTTTGAGCCATGCTGTAAAAGTTAATGCATGAAAGGAGCTACCCGTTTAACCCAGTTATAGTCACTGTGACTTATTTCTCAACCTTTCAGGCTGATTTTCCTTACACTTCAAAATGAACTTTGAATTGTCAAAACTGCACTTCAGACATTTTTTAGAAGCACTGGTAACAAGACCCTTGGACTGCAGCCTGGGAATACAGTTTTCATTGCACATAACCTTTGAATACATCTAAACTTTTTGTGGAAGGGATGCAATAGGAGGTGGGAAAACTCATCACCCTAACATCTGAGTTTTCTGTATTTTTGGTCATCCAGCTATTAGAGTGCAACTAAGAGAATCACCTCTTTTGGTATATCTCTTGTCATCTTTCTATCTTCCAGCCATACTGCCATCCTTTGAAACTTACTCCAGAGTTGCAACAGTTCCGTGTAACTAGCTCTAGACCCTTCCTTTTCAAAATAATATATTCTCCCCCTTTTTAAAGTGAAAACATTAAGTATTAGGCTGGGTAACAACATATATGAGGTAAATCATAATGCCAACAGCTTATACAAAAATGTCTGGAATGCTGCTTAGGAAGCAGAAGTTCCGCAAACCACCCCTTCCTGTTCGAACAATTATAGATTTTACTAAACACAGAAATTATTCTGCAGCTGCCAAAGAACTTAAGATGTTCAGTGTGAGAAAAATTCAAAATTCCAATTCTCTCTTCCCAGTAAAATGCCCAGCTGGTCCCTGTTAGGTGGTTTATGTTTGGGAGAGTCCTTTTTTCTTCCTCATCAAATTGCTCCATGTACAATAATGGATGCAGTGCCAATTACCTTATACCAGTTGAAAGTACTGTAACATCACCTTTGGGTTTTTTTGGTGGAACTAGCAATAAGCAATTTGAGAATGGTTTAACAAAAATCAGCAATAAATCCAGAATGGTATATACTGCCTTCCAAATATTAATGTATTTTTCCACATTTTTAAAATCGAAATTAAGTAAAAAGATAACCACTTAGAGAATCATTTAGCTGCTTGATTTTATTAAAATACTGTCACTTCTAATTATGTATGTTAAGGAAAACAAAAACACCACACACAATGGAATGCCAAGTGTACTGTCCAACTTGGTGTTCCTTAGAAGTTTTCTTCTTGTGGCTTTTCTTTTCCCCATCCCTCCTTTTTCACACTGGTTTTAAATTTACTGTGATTTTTTTTTTTTTAAATATATAGTGTCAAATCATGTTCATAAACATGTAGCTGCCTGCAAGCAGAGGGGTGTGCTCAGATTCTTCCTGATCAAGCACTGAGGCACAAAAGGTTTCAGGCTCATATTTTCAAAACCTCCTGCATAGTTTTTGTGTGTGTACATTTATGACACCGCCAAGGCAATGGCACATTGACAGAGAAACCCTGACCCAACCTAATCTAACTCTGCAAATAGTTCATTGAATTAAGGAGGGACTGGGGAGGGGGAAGGAGGGCAAGGAAGTCACTGAAAGAGCCCACAGATTTCAAGAAGCACTGCAAATATTTATGATTCAGATAAACAAACCCTGATGGTAAAGAAAGAGTTCACAACGGTTTCTCATGCTGGCAATATATATTTATTGTCATTGTGGAGATAGGTTACCATGTGTATATCAGAACTTCAGACTAAAAACAAACTGGGATTATGAATTCAGCATATGTCAGTTGGAAATTAAATGAGTGAATATAAAGCTGACCTTTAGAAGATCTACACTTGGGTCTAGGATTTGCATTTCCCCCTCCTCCCTTTCTCCTTAAATTAAAACCTGAACATCTTCCCCTCCCCTTTCATTTCAACCTCAGGAAAAATAAGTGATCATCTAAATTCAGCTTTTCCTAGTTCTACTAGCGATCCGCTGGCAATCTCAGAACAGTTATATTGTTGATTCTACAACTTCAGAAAGAAGACAACCTTTACAAACAATGTTCTTCTTACACTTCACCTGGCTACCGAGTCCAGCTTCAGGACTAGACTACAGCAGACTCAAGAGCTGCTTACATTAGACGGCTGCGGTTACATGGCTGCGGTGCAAGCCTTCAACATACGCACTTTGCTGTTCCGGAACAAGGTGCGTCAGTGCAGGGTCTGAGAGGCTGTGCAAAAGAACTCGCAGTGCTACAAATTCTTGAAATAACTTTCCTGTCCATCTCACATGTACTGACTAACAGACATCTTCCACTAATTTCACCAATCCCAAATACTACCAAAAAGAAAGAGAAAGATGAAGATAACTCATGCTTTTATACAAAAATACCCAAGCAACCCCCCACTCAAAAAAAAAAAAAAAAAGCGTGCCACAAAACCCCTCCAACTTCATTTCCCTTACCCCTAAAAACCCCAGGTCAAAGCTATTTGTTCCCCACCCTCCCAACCCTCCTGCAGCTTTTATATGTCACCATTAAAACAAGTGCATACAACTTACTGTACAATATGGAGCTGCAAGCATTCAAGTTACGGAACATTCTGAAAATATTTCAAGCATAAAAAGTACACTTGATAATTGCAAAAATAAAGTTTCACTTTTTTTTAAAAAACATTTTGATCAGAGCTCAAGCAAAACAAACATGTAACGACTCCTACTTCAGTTGAACTCCAGAAGAACACCACCTCCAGAAGTTAAAACCAAAAACCTCAGACTTTGGTGATGAAGTAAGTGACCACGTGTTTTCACAAAGAGAAATGGTATATACAACAATGGCACAGAACTTAAGCATCAACAAGATATTTTAGCCAAAGTCTGTCTAGAAGTGATGTGAATCCATCTTAGCATCAAATGGTACCAATTACTACGAACCATAATCCGCTAGGAACAGACATGAACTTAGACGGGTACGAATGGAAGGAAACATCCATGACATCAAATAAGCTCAGTTTTTGTCACTGAACATTTTTTAGGCTAACAATTTCACTAGTGCAAGACGATAGGTTTACCTGATTAAATGAAAGTCATAAATGTCACAATTTAAGAACACTCATACAAAACTATTCTTTTCTTTTAAAAAAGTGCCACATACCATACTTTTACTAAAAAAGTTACAAACTAATGGAAGACTGTCTGCCTCCATCTCTTGTCGACAAGGAAAGGCCAAAGTGATTCTTTGATCCCAGCTCGAAACGGCGTTCTCTGACCTATCCCCAGCCTCTCCAACTTGGAGCAGTCCAGCTGAGCATTCCTCGGCCGAAGAGCACCCACAACTGGACAATCAGTGATCTAAAAAATAAACAGAACAAAACCCCCAACACACCAAGTAAACAGAAGTGATGGAAAACCATTTATTCTTATACATGCTCGTTCAGAATTTTTCCTTCGTACCTTTCTAGATAGGTACATTCCCCTACTCCCAACTATTTTGTGGAGTTCTATTCAAGCTTAACTTCATTTCAACATAGGACGTGAGGCAGACTTATGTGAAGTTAAATTCTTCTTTTTTCTTTCCCATTTACGTTTTTCCATGTTTTACTCCTCAACTTACACCTATAATCACATGGTAAAAAATACTCTGAGATGTTAACAGAACCACGTCTTGATCGATATATTTGAAAAGAAATAGATTTGGGCAAAAAAAATTCAGACTAATTAGTGTTCTCCATTCTTTGTATCTCCATCTTCCAAGCCCCATTTCAGTTCCAGCCTTTACTAACTCAGAATCCTTGGAATTTCTTTTGAATATAAACACAATCTTACTAACAGATTATATTCTCACAACATTATCAGTACGTCTTCAACCACAGCACCACTGTTAGGTGTCAGTGAATGTGCAGGACAGGTGTTTTAAGCAAAGCAAAAATAATTTAAAGTGCACGTATTCAGAAAGAAATCTGGACACTGAAAAGTTCTTACACGTTCCTACCTTCCAGTTAATGTTCTACCAATCTGTAAGCTTATTCAAGGACAAAAATACAACAAAAATATGGATTTACTTGTGACTAAGGGGAACTGTTCTGTAGCAATACTATGACACTATGAAACTGGCTCCTGACTGACGGGGTAATTTTCACAAATCAGCAGGACAGCACAGCTGTTGTTTTCCTGAGTTAGACACCAGACAGCATCCTCAGCGGTGCATCTGCTGTGCTAGACATACTCACACACATCGTCCTAAGAGGAACCTTACGTGTACCACTAGCATGAGATCTACTGCTTGAAATGAAAAAGCACATCCATCTTTCTACAGGTGAAACATAACTTACTGGTCTCAGGTGGCTGCTGGGAAGGTTGAAAGCATCTGCAATCGCACACGCCATCTCGTACTTCGTCATCTGCTCATTGCCAGACCAGTGAAATGTTCCTTTCACTGATGGGTCCTATGGAAGAAACAGGGAGCAGAGGTTAAAAACATCAGCTAGCTAGCCCTCAGACTAATTCCTGTGCAAGAATTGTGCAGAATAGTCTTCCAGCAAGTTCCTATCCCAAAAGGCATGTTACAGCACTCACCAGTGTTCTGGAAATGTCTCATGCACTTTCAGAGAACACCTGACTAGGGATTCTGACTGAAAACTGGTGTTAATCTGAGCTGACTTTTCACGAACAGCTTACATTCTGTAGAATTACCAGGAGGGAAAGGAGCGAGCCAACCCACCCAGGTCAAATAGCCCAGAGGGAGGCAGTCGGCTGTTCTACACCATTCACTTAGTCGAAAGCAACTGCAAAAGACACCACACGCATTCTGAATGTTAACCTGCAAACCATGTACAAGTCCTAGCAAACAAACTGACTGCACCACAACCACCATATGCGCATGTCCCATTTTTTCCAGTTACATGTATCAAAAATAAAGGTGGTTGTCGGTTTTGTTACCTTGCAAAGGTGGTAGTCTGAAGGTGTTGTGGTCAATAAACACAAAGTATTTAAGCTCAGAGGCTTTTCTTTTTGCCACCTCAGTGTCCTTAATACAATAAACAAGGACATCTAAGAATTACATTCAACCACCATAGGTTTTCCTAGTCCAAAATGACAACTTATGAAGCGCATATTAGGCTAAGTAAGGTATTTGCATTCTTGTCCTGTATACTAGAAGACACAAAACAGTTTTCAGAAGGATCTGTCCCATCACTTCACTCACTTTTGTTTCAAGTATCAAAATATCCACACACTGTCATGTAAAGACACTGTTGTACTACAGCTAGTTCTTTCCTCCCTCTTATTGCTCCAGAACTGCACAATGCAGGTTACATGCAGTCCTCAGGCGTTCAGAAACAAAGCCATGAACTCAAACTGGTTTTACCTTAAACAGGTTGTTCCTTTAAATTCTTACCAGCATTCTCTTCTCTGCTAGTTGTCTGCAAACAGTTGCTACATCCTTGACGTTGGTAGGAAATCTTTGCTGCCAGTGGTCCATGTTGGCAGATTTATTACTGAACTGCACTTTATCAAACATAACAGTCACAGCACTTTCCTCCAGTCGTTCTACCTCTCCATACAAGACAGGAATCCTAAGTACTGCAGCATCTAAAAGGAAGAGTATTTTGACAAGCATTGTTATGAATAGGTATGAATGCTGTAGCATAACCTGAAAAGTGGTTTGGAGGTGTTAAGAAATACATTGGTGATATTAAGTATCTACAAATCACAAAGAAAATGCAATTAATACGTTCACCCTCAGAACATAATTTTACTTTATATCAATTAAAACCGTTTATGAACACTAAGTTTACATAAACTTATTTTTATTTCTGCCATCAATTTCTATAAGGTTAAGCTTTCATTAACACTAGCAAGACAAAAAAGGGGTTAGAACCTTCGGTAAAGTTAGAACAAAAATTAAAAAAAAAATCACACCTGCAATAAGCAGTTACTCCAGCACTACTCATCCTCCCTGGGTAACAGCAAGAACAAAAATTCCCACCACCACCAAATTACTACATTCAGGCATTAATTACAAGGATTTTTCACCCAGCATGCAGAAGCCTCCTTCACAAAGGAGGGTATTATTTACCAGGAAAAAAAAAAAAAAAGAGATGAACCTTGGAACGAATAAAAAGCTTGGCCAATAAGGAATAGGTACAGAGAATACAGTAGTAAGCAGAATTAGATTTCAAGACTGCGATTTGAGAAACTAAGCTAACAGTAAACAAGTGCAGAGAGAGGAAGATTTTATGATGGAATACATCATACTAGTCCACCTCAGTCATGAAGACTCAAAAGGCCTCTTTGAGGGAAAATCCAAGAAGGTGACGCAAATTCATTAAAGTAATACAGGCAGTTTTCTTGAAGGAAAAAAAAGAAAATCAGTCCTGAAGTTAGAAGTGGAAGTCACCAAATCATTACGATTCTTAAAGACCTGTAGGAAAATGCTATAGCTATTAGAAAGACAAAAAGAAAAAGCTAACACACAAGCTATCTGCACAGAAAAATAAACTGAAAGACCTACTTACACAAGAAAAACAAATACAGTAAAAAACCCAACATGACACTGACTTCCTGCTGCTCTAAACACAGTTATTTGGTCACTCAGCAAATAGGTTCTCCCTCTCTTCAAACACAGCTTGAAATATCTCTTCTTAGATATCTTCAGAAGCATTCATGGTTTGAGAAAGAGACTGTCTTCCTTCTGTTCTCAAAGAGCTACCGGAGAGCACTGCCTCCATTACCAACGGTCCTGAAGACCTACTGAAACTTTCTCATTTTATAGGCATGAGTACTAACTATAACTTTTATCCTCTTATCCTTTTATAGTTGATCGCCTGAATATCACCTAGACAATATTGGCAAATTAGTGGTTGGAAAACTAATACATGTGAAATATTTCTATAAAACAACAGAATTAACGTTTTCAAGCACCCTAGCAGCACCATCTGAAATTCCTTCTACTAATAATACTACTGCTGCCTGACAGGTCACACTCAAAAAGGTTATGAAATGAAACTGAAGTGCTGAGCTGGGGGAAGGACCTAGCGAGATACCCACATGTACTTGAATTTATTTGGTGCAGTCTTATCTTCATTACCAATCTAGAAGAGGGAGCAAACAGCATCGCAGTCAAATTCAGAGATAATATTGAAAGAAAGAGATGGAGTAACTTTTTTATTTAAACTGATTTTTACTTAAGTAAGGCTTCTCCTATCTAAGTATTTTTAAGTCTGTTTCTTACTAGCAACGACAAACCTATATTAAGGCCTATCATTTTGAAATACAGTATATATTTACTTACTGACAGACAACCACACTGGTTTATCAACTGTTCAATTCTCTGGTTAGGCAGAGCAGAATCACAGCGCGAGTATCATACTGACGTACAAGAAACCTCTTGTGCAATGCACTGAGGTTAGTTGCTTCAAAGTAAGAAAACAGAGGTGCTTCTTTCCTTATAATCTGTGATGGAAACTGGCAGCACACTAACCAGAAACAACCAACCTCTTTTTTGTACAGGAACTAAGATCTAAACGCAAGGGAACATGTTCACACACAAGGTTTTTCCTCTATTATGCAGAATTTTTTTGTTTATGTTTGTATATTTTGAATGCCAATTTTCAATACGAAAATTTAAAAGATGAGTTGCATAAAACCACAATGTTACTAACCCTTGAGTAAGTGTTACAAGCAGAAATCTGATGTGAGTGTTAAGCTGGGTGAGGAAAAATAAACGGTACGGCCTGATGGCTTATGTAATGAAAGCAAAAGAGGAGATCAGTGAGAAAACCAAAAGAGTAACAACAGAAGCCTACATTGATATTATCTGCATTATTATTGATTCACAGGTCTGTTTCTCCCTTTAAGTGGACATACACTTCGAACAATTGCCAGGCATCTCCCTATAAGCAGCAGCTCTATTTTAAGTGTGGTAAAGCTTGTGCCATCACAGTATATTGATGATGTATTTTATCTTTCCTTAGGAAATGTTAATTCACAGCTTGTGAATGTCCATCAGCACAGACTAGTAACATAAATGAAGACTAGAACAAGTAAGAAACACAACTTTAGTCAACCTATAAGCAATAGAATCGTTTATGAGCAAGGAGACTAAATCCTAATCACATTCTTTTCTGAATCTCGTTTCCATGGTTTTGCAATTTCACCACTGACTTACGAGTCTATTAGGCTAATATACAACTAAGTAAAAATAGAAAGCCTCTGTTAAAAATGTGAGTGTGTTCTTACCTTCATTATTTTCCAGGACTGCCTTTTCACCCTCCAGTTTGGTTTTACCATATAAATTCAGGGGATTTGGTACATCGGTCTCTTTATAAGGAGGGCTTGTTCCATCAAATACATAGTCTGTACTAATGTAGATCAGAAACGCTCCAACTCCAGCTAGGAAGAAAATGTGTATAGATGTCTATTTTAATTAATGCCTTGTTTGAAATCCCAGTCACAATTTAACCAAACCTCCAAAAGACCTCATCTGCTAGCTCCATTCATTCCCACCACGTTGTCTGTTCACTGATGCTTACCCTTACAGAAAACAGTTTGAACACACACTGATCGCAGAAATGACATTCAGCACTGAGTAACTTAGTAGTATTTGTGTTCCTGTATAAATGAATGCGCTTTTTTAACAAGAAACCAAGTCCATTAGATGGTCTCCTTACCTGCCTCTTTTGCCAAGTTCCCTGAAGCAGCTACATTGAGCTGGGAAGCAGCATCTGGTTGACTTTCTACAACATCTGGCCTTCTCTCAGCAGCACAGTGCACTATAACATGAGGCTGGAAATTAAAGACTGATTTTAAACAACAAACATCATCAAGAGACTGCAGTTGCACCCTAACTCTAGCGATGAACTGCCTCAGGCAAAAAGGCATTTCATTAAGTTGTGAGAAGTACTAAAAGTAGCAGTATTATTTTTAATTGTTGTATTCTGAGGAGTATGTTTTCCTTAGGAAGTAAACCAGAAACATGCTGATTCAAGATTTCAGATTCCAATACCATAAAAAATGATCATTAATTTTGCAAGTATGATCTTCAATAGCTTTAATTTTACAGCAAGATCAAGGTTGTTGGCTTTTTTCTCTTTAACTCATGAAAATAATATAAAATAAATAATGTAATACCTATTTCACACACATAATAGTACTTTAAAAAAACATTAGCCAAACTATTTTTAGTTAAGCTATTTACACATGGCTTATTTGACATACGCAGACTATTAATTAACAAGGTATTTAAAACCATTTTGTAGAATGGCACGCTGCAGGAAGTATTTCAGGTTTTATATATTCCCCTTGTAAATCAGAAAACAGAAAACGTCGTACCACACTGCATGCTAGACATGCTGTATTCAAGTATTCTTCAACTTCGAAAGAACCGCTTCATATTAGTCAACAAATGGTATTTATCTTGTTCTTTTAACTACCAGCGCAATGTGCTGACCCATACCTGTTACCTGCAGCCTGTCCACAGTGCGACAGCGAAGCTGAGAACTGTCTGTACCTGCAGAGCAAGGCTACAACTCCAGATGTGGCAGAACAGGCAGCCATGTAATTTTTCAGAGCTCTGCCAAAGCATTACCCCCACTAAAGCCACATGAACTCAGTATCAGAACAGCACTGTCAGCTGGTTACTAGATGTAGGAAGTACCTATCCATCTACTTCACGCTGCAGAAACTTACCTGAAAATCATGGATAATGTCATGAACTGCAATAGAGTCCAGAAGATTAATCTGTTCAAATCTGGGCTGAGCTCTCCTGTACCCGCAGCCAACTGCATTCCAATTATTTTCATTGAATTCTTTAAACACAGCTCTGCCAAGGAGTCCTGTAGCACCAGTAATCAAAACTCGCCTACTGGGAATGTCAACATCTTCCTAAGGAAACGAGAACAGGGAAAGTTTGCTTTATACTGTTATTTATTGCTGTTTTTTCTTTAAAACGTATATAAGGCTACAGTCAGTGCTACTGTATTAAATAGCTTTACTAGCTGCATGAGTGTTTTGGAGTGTCTCATGGAACACAAAGATCTGGGAACACCAGTACTGTACCATGTCAAGTATTTACACATATTTTTGAAGGTTCTGAAACCAAAACTTAAATGGGAAACTCATTTCTACAACAAGAGGAAACACCAAACCACTAACGAAGACAGAATTCTAAGCTCATTCAAAGTCTTATAACTTTGTGCCATTCCTAATGAGGAAAATAACTGCTTTTAAAAATGGACCCACAATATTTGAGACTTAGGGTCTACATCCTGCAACAAATAATTTTGGTTAGACAAATAATTTTAGTGACAGTTAGAGGCTGCAGCGATACAATACATCTCACTGCGGGCCTGTCTACAGTGATCATGACAATTAGACACCTAAATTTTATTATTAAATAGAAGAGTAAGTCATCATTATTCAACACAATAGTCTAACAGTCAATAAAACCAAGATACAGCTCTCTTCTCAGTTTTACAAACTGCACCTGAAAGTGACTTGATAATTTAAACTGTCAATCTATACAACACACTAAAGCTTGACTTCAGCCACCACACATTTCAGCACTTGAGAAGGCTGAGTACCTCAGAGTTCTCACAACATTCATTCCTCTCCACCACTCACTAGACCATCAAGTTTTCAAGACAACAAATGCAAGATTCACATCTGTCTGTGCAATCGCTATTTTCCTTTCATGGTTTTCTTCTGCATGTATCATTGGAACAAGGGCTTTCTCTTCTCCAGGGTGAACAATGCCAACTCTCTCAGTCTGTCTTCACAGGAGAAGTGCTTCAGCGCTCTGAGCATCTTCGTAGACTCACTTCAACCAGTCAATATCCTTATGTTGAGGCCCCAGAACCGGATGCAGTACTCCAGGTGGGATCTCACAAGAGCAGATTTTTGAAGGGGAAAACCATCTCCCTCGCCCTGCTGGCCACAATTCTCCGGATACAGCCCAGCATACGGTTGGCTTTCTGGGCTGCCAGCGCACACGGCTGGCTCATGTTCAGCTTTTCATCTACCAGTACCCCCAAGTCCTTCTCCTCAGAGCTGCTTTCTATCCATTCTCCACCCAGCCTGTCCTTGTGCTTGGGATTGCTCCGGCCCAGTCCATGTGCAGCACCTTGCACTTGGCCTTGTTGAACTCCATGAGGTTGGCAGCGGCCCACCTCTCCGGCCTGTCCACATCCCTCTGGGTGGTGATCTATTTTTACAGGCAATTTGACCTCAGAACACAACTTTATTTACAGTTTTTTAAAGCTGCCCACATTTCTCTGAAAAGCATAAGCAAGAACACACCAAGTACTGTTTTATCTTGATGTACTTTTTATCTTAACAATGTCTTGGACAGAGCATCATAGGACAGATTACCCGTGTTTGTGTAGCCAGAGGGTACCCGCTAATAAACATCAAAGGCTTGCTGCAGGAGACAGCTGGAAGGTTCTCTAGAAATGTCAGAGTATCTTAATAAGCAGAAAGCAACCAAAAAAACATGCAGTGTTTGTAAAATCTGACGGTTTTAAACATCATCCATCTAAGTTTGTTTATTCTACGCGTCATGAAGAGGATGTTACGTTAGCAGCACAGCTTGAACTGAACACAATCACAGCTTCCACCAAGGTAAGTAGTTTGCATCCTGCTGCTCATCTGCAAGAATAATTGATTTTAGTCACTTGTTTCTGAGATGTGCCCACACACTGAACACAAAGCAACCACCAGTTTAAAGGGATTTCACCCTGCCGAACGTTAAACGTTTTGGCAATACAAAACCTGCACAGACTAAGTCTTTTGCTACCTGCTGCCTTGCTCCTTCACAGAACGTCACTCAACTGCAACAGCATTTCTTGCTCAGAAACTACCAACCCTGGAACTTCTGAGTCCAAAGGACGTCTGGGGCTCAACGTTCCCACCACTGCTCTTTGCAGAAAGTACTGCTGTTGCCTCACACAGACTATGAATACATATTAACAGCACCATATACCTCAGTGTGGCAACCAGGTCATCTTCGACAGTCAGCAAAACTAAGAACGTAATTGCTGCTACTTGCTTTGTCTTGCAAGGAATTAATCATGGTTGTCTAGAGGAGAACAGGGCAGAAATCTGTGCCTACTCTCTAGAAGTATCAGTCCTTAACTGAAACCATGGAAGGCCTGGCATCTTCTTTTTTATTTTTGTTAATTTACATAGGTTTTTCTGAACAATGCCTGGAGTATTAACAGTGCAACTAAAAGATACGTCTGCTCTTCACTGTTATCCTAATGAGCTAGAAAACACACGCAGCATTTACACCAGTTTTATGGACTATATGTAAAGAATAAAAGACATTCTAGAATTCAAATGTTACCCTTTTGCCTGCAAGTTTTATAGGCTTAAATACAAGATCTTGTCCAGATTAGCCTTTCAGCTAACAAATCTTTTACATGTTTCTCAACTAAGAAGCAATCATAGTCAGTCACCAAGTGTGCAGAAAGTTATCTCGGCAAATAATTCTGAATAATGCTATTTAAATGCACAATTTTGAGCTTTTACAAGAGAGCATCCGATTTTATTTAGCTTTATCTGATGTTCAATATGAAGAATTAATGTAATAAAAGAACTGTAGTCAGCCGTCTTATTCGCATAAAAATATACAAAGAACAACATCATAAGGTTAAAAAGTAGCATTTACGAGACCTAAAGACTGCTTTGTCGACACTACCACAACACAAAATCAGAGTATAATTTACAAAAATAGTAAAATGTGATGTATTTCAAGGAGAAAACTAAGATACTAGTAGTTTAAATTTTATATAAAACCTGAACGTGACAAAATCTACACTGAACTCAAACCCATCTATTTTAAGGAACGCCCACTGAGAACGGAAGCTGCTGGGACAGCACGGGTCGGCAGCAGAGTGCGATGACAGCAGTGACTGCAGGGAAGTCCCCACCAGCTCCGCATGCGGCTCCGGCCCCGGCAGCAGCAGGTGAGTACCTGTCGGCCTCGGCCGAAACTTGTTACGCGTTTAACTGGCGCGTCGAGCGCACACGACGGCAGCGGGGGAAC